AATTTAAGACAAATGGCTCTATTCTCAAAGATTCTTAACTTAGCTCAGTTTTTCTATGCAATCTTGGTACTGCATCTTAAATATATGTAAAGTGATCTGACATTCTACATTGTTCCTTTTTCCTCAATGCCACAGTCCATCATTAATAGTATCTCACTTTTTTTCTCTCTCATATCCAATTCATCAATCTTTGTTTTCATCAAAAGACCATGAGAACATTACACTCCTTGAGACCAAAAGAGAGTCCAGCCACATAGATATACAAAAAATCCTTTAATTTATACTCTTGCTACCGCTTTAATGTAAAATATCCTATGATCAACGATAAAACACCTTGTGAACTTTAGACAACATTAAGTTTTTTGATGAAAATAAAGACCGATGAATAGTAAAATGACATATAAACTCTAGAAAAGATGAATTTTTTTGATGAAAACAAAGATCCATCCATTTGTGAATGAAAGCCTTCACTTATCTGCCTTCACTTATCTTAATATATAGCCTAGTTGAATCCATGCCATTGTTATAGATTTTTGACACAAATTTCCAAAAAATTAGTTTATTGATATCAAAATCTATGCTTCTTAAGCATTTCACCTTGTACATTAGTAGGAAATTTTGCATTCAAGTTCTTCAAAATTAATTCTATATTAATATAACAACAAAGTCTAGAAAAAAATTTTTTTGGTAGATTGAGGAAATATTATAGAAGACAATTTACCTTTTACAAATCAGATCATGGACTTAATGTATAATTAATTACACATGTAAAAAAAATAATTTTATTTATTTATTTATTTATTTAAACATGAGTTAAAGTAATTTAAAAAAATATATAATATATAGCTAGAAATTGAATAAAATATCATATATTTATATATATAGTTCTTTATAAAAATATATATTGATTTTGATTTTAATTATAACACTATAAATTTTGATATTATTATAGAATATAGTTGAAAACATTTACTTAATTTTTTTCTTTAAATTTCAAGTCAATGACCTATTGTAATTAAAATAATTTATCTTGAGATTAATTTTTTTAAATAAATCAACATCAATTTATTTCATAAAATTTATTCAAATTATATGTTTTTTTTCAAAACACATCTGTAAAGAAAAATTTAAAAATTATAGCATATAATAATAATTAAGCTAATCTTATATTGGAAATACAATGAAAAAAGAAAAAATAACTTAAATTCAACATGGTTCAAAAACACATTCACACAATTAGTAATTCTTATACACTTTTCTATTTATTGTGCTAAAAACATAATTACAAACTTGATATTGTAATTGTCATCAATTTTCAATAAACTATGGAATAATTTATATATAATTTTTTTTGCACAAACATAACAACTTAGTAAAGTGAATGCGGCACAAAACCATACCGCAAAAGTTAGATTCATAATTGCAATCATTGGCTTTTTATTCACCTGCAATCTTGTTTCTTCTAGATGCTAGTGAAAAACAAGTATGGGAGTTGTCGATATTATTTTCTAAATTATTCTGCATCTGTAATGACATTCACTTGATTGTAAGTTTTCAATTATAACTTTTACCTATAAAAAAGGGTTTTATATTGTTCAAAATAGGCATTTGCATTGTGGATTCTTGGATGAAGAGAGCTATGAGTTGTTTTTCTATTACTTGTGGCACATAATATATAAAAAAATAAATAGTTTCAGTAGAAAGAAAGAAATAAAGTTTGTGCCACTAACCACACTTACTCAATCAAGTTACAATAGAATATCTTTATTGCACTCTATTATGCTTTGCTTAATGCCACTTGCAATCAATTCTACATAGATGACACAATCAATTGCATCAATACATTAGCTAATTGCTTGCTTGATTATGCTTTGTTTTTCTTTTATCTCTTTGGAGGTGAACTTTTTCACAAATCACATAAACACCTAAAGCACAAATAAACCCCATTAAATAGATTTTTGAAGATCATAAAAGAATGGAGTTTGATTTTGTAGTAGAAACTTCATTTATAAAAGGAATCTAAAAGAATAAAAAAGACCAAACCAACAATAGAGAAGTAATGTTGAATGTAGTAGAAGATCAACAAAATTATACATATATTTAGAAATTGAGATTAGAAAGCAAATGTTTAATATAATATTGATCATTATAATGACTAATCACATCACATAGCAGATACAAGCATGCATTCAAGGAGGTCAAGTATCCATATGTGAAACATCCTAATGAAAATCTTTTGTAAACAACAACTTTGGATGAGCTTTCAAAACCTAGTGAAAATCAGAACCTAATGAAAATTGAAACCCAATGTGGCTCCAAATCATATCCAATCAAAATTAATGTGATGAATTAGAATTCAATGAAAATTAAAATCCAATGCAACTTTAAATGCAACTAAAACCATAAAAACACATTATGAATCCAATCAAAATCAACTCACTTACATTAAAATTATGAGCATCATCTTGCTTTTGTCTTGCTTAATCCTCTTCATGTTGCTTCAATGCTATCACCAACAACATAGAATGCCTTGTGAAATGACTTGATCAACTATAAAATATCTTATAGAATGCCTTGATTATCTATAAAATGCCTTATAGAACACCTTGTAAACTTCAAAGAATGCAAACTTTTTTGATGAAAACAAAGATCTATGATGCAACCATGAAGAACCACTACTTGAATCCTATAGAACTCCTTGATCAATTATAAAATGCAGTAATGAACTATGAAATAAGTAGTGAATTCTACAAAATATGAATATATTTGATGAAAATAAAGACCCACATATGCGGTGAATGAAAGCCACCATGTATCTTCTTAAGCAATCTTAATATATAGACTAATTGAATCCATACCATTGTCACAAAATCTTAAGAATTTGGAATTCGAGACTTAGCCCTGATATCTAGTACTAACCTTTATTGCACTCCGAGCCCTACTCTATTGGGACAATCGGCTTTTCTCTAAAGAATCACAAAAACTTGAGCAAATGTAATCCTCAAGAGCTCCTATAAATCCAAACCTTATCAAAAGTAAAGTGTTTATTATCTATCTAAGAAAAACATTCCGTGATACATTCTCTAATATAGTATTAGTGAGCCTCAATAAATGGTTTAGTTGAAGGAGAATATGACTTGTGAGCATTACTTCCATTATAAAGTATTACTACTATTTGGAAATGTGGAGTAGGCGCTAAAAGGATACTTTGATGAAAGGAAGAATACAACATTTAATAAAGGTAGGGACTTAATCAACAATAGCTCTGATTCATCACAAATAAAGTTCTACTCATTCTTGGCAAATCTACATTATGTAATATTACATGCCTCAAAATAGAAATCACACATAAAATATTGCATCCAAAAATAAATAAAATAAATAAATTTAATAAAAATTAAATAACATCAAATATATGAAGACGTACACATCTTCTTCACAAATATTTATTTTTTAGGTAGGTATTTGCATTATTCTTTTACACTCTTGTCCAAAGTTTGATAAATCAACTACAACATGAGAGGTAAAAGATGTAGACATTGCAAAATTACATTGTCAAGTATAGCCACAAGAATTGATAGTTCTTATCAAGCTTTTGATTCCAAATGCCTTTTGTTGAAGCTTGAACAATACAATGTGCTCTTCCTCCTATCAAAATGTACCAGTGACGTAATATTAAGCAAACTCACATCTTCTTCCTCAAACTATAGGTCCATACACATTGTAAACAAAGAAACAACAAAGTTGAAACTTCCGACGTTGCCTTTTCATATTACTCAAACAAAATCAATATCCATAAAACAAACTAATATAACAAAAATGATATAGCTGATAAATGTAAGTTCATGGATGGAGTTTCACCTTGTTTACAGCATCATTTAAAGTGTGATGAAATGTATTAGTGACAAACAATTTAATCCACAATGTTTGCATTGAAATTTGATTTGAACTAAAATGATTCCAAAATGAAATTATGTATGATTTGAGATAGTATTTCTAACCCTATCACATGAAGAAATGCACGATTAATAGTTGCAACAAATAACCTTCACACTCACGTCAAATATCCACCTTACTCCAAATGCTGCTTAACAATACATTTTTCTTACCTTTCACCTAAATGTAACATCAAAAATAAGTAATCACTTACAACACTCAATTAATTTCTAACATCATTGAGTTGAAAACAATGCAATGCACAACAGTTTGTATATTGGATTGTATCTCATTGCCATTTGTGTTTTCATTAGCAGAGTCAAAGATTGAGGTCAAATGTGCACCTAGCAAAATTCCATTGCCCTTCACAACACATGCTTTACGTTGTTGGTGTTCAATTGCCTACATCTCTCTAAATCATTAAACTTCATCTTTAATTCCATTTAGTTGCAGAAAAAAAAAATGTAACTTCAATTGTATTTTCAATTGCATTTAGTAGCAAAATTGCAAAAAAAATGAGCCTCGTGAACTCTTTATAAACTCCATGTGAATTCCACTCAAGTGCACTCAGTTGCAGAGTTGTATAAAAATAATGAGCCCTATGAATTCCTTGTGAACTTTGTATAAACTCCACTTGAGTATATTTGGTTGTAGAATTGTAGAAAAAAAATAAGCCCTATGAACTCCGCTTGAGTTTTGGTCAAGCTATTGCTTCCTTTCAAACTCTGGACAATGTTAAGTTTTTTATGAAAACCAAAAGGGGTGCATGCCATGAAGGAGAGCCACCACTTGTCTCCTTAAGCAATCTTAATACATAGATACACATCAATAACTTGCTTTTACATATTACTTCCAAAGCCAAGCAAAGAAGGGACTTCAATGCGAGTTTTTCTTAACAATCAAAGTTGGTTTCAATACATGCAAACTTCAGAATTTTATGTATCTCGAGTTCATCACCAGTGAGGGCATTCAATCCACGTGGCATAATGAGTGACACGTAGGATGTCCAACTCAGCGCTACTCTTGACAAGCCAACAATACTCCAGTCGTGCTCATAATGTTTTCCTCACAATGCTCCTTCCTTCGCAGAATTGCAGGCTTCAATCGTCGAGGACCAATTCGCTGGCCAATTTTATTTGCTCTTTAGCGGCCGATGTGCAGTCTGCATCACAGATTCATCACCGCATCGAATCAGAATTTTAGTCAGGCACTCATGCGGTTCTTCTCTTGTAAGAACGTGGTCGTAATACTCGTTTATACCTCAAGGTTGTGCTTCGTCAAACCCTAGCTGTTATCGCAGGTATTCTCGCAATCTCATGTTTCATCTTCGATTCGGTGAAGCTACTGATCCTCTATGAAGGGAAATTCATTTCAGAAAGGGAGCAGGGGAACAATGCTTAGGTTTTTTGATAAGTGTTTGAGGTTCCGTTGTTGTAGTTACTCTGGTAGCGTAGCTGGAGTAATGGTATGGATCGAAGTATTTGAGTAGAATGAAAACTTTTCGTGCTTCAGAATGAATTTCTAGGCGCAAACATTGTTCTACAATGCGAATATTAGGTCTCTGCTTTTGTACAGCACTTTTGGAAATTCGTCGCTTTCTGAAAATCTAATTCTTATCACGTCATTTTACTTCAGCGAGTTTGATTGAATATTTCTGTCTGAAAGACAGACGTTTCTTCCGATTCTAGGTTTTTCTGTCTGAGCTGGGCAAAGGGCGGAAAAGAATGTTTGTTTTTAATTTGTAAATGATTTTTAAAAAATAAGACGATTGGAGGGTTAATTAATTTGAAGGTTAAGCTCGTCGTGCCATCGGAATGTGAAAGAAGTTAGGCGTGCTATGAGAGGTTTCACAACAATCCCGACAGGAATCCTCTTGCGAAGCGTACCTGACAGCGACTGTGAAACTTGGATCATTATGCCGCAAATTTAATATTCAATTCCGTCCACATTTTGTAGTCTTTTACTTGATCTATTCAATCGCGCCCAGGAATTTAGTAGCGAGATCTTTCAGTGCAGGACGTATGTGAAGCCTTCTTTTCTGTGAGATTCTCTTCGTTCGACTAATTCTGAAACTGAACTTTCATGTTTGATCTCAGCTTGTACAGCGCAACAGGAAAGGTCTGCACAGAGACAAGAAACCCTTTTATTTTTCTGGCTTATCTCCAGCTCATCCTTCTTATGGCGTGATGCCGAGGTGACTGATCCCATGCACAAAGATAGTAACTATGAGTTCTTCCTTGCCGGGATCACCGTATGAGCTCTCAATTCAGCAAGACCTTCCTCCTGCACCAAATGTTGGAACACAATGCGCAGATTGGTTGCCCCGATTTGCAGGCTCAAGCTGGTTGGCGTATGCTGCTAGCAGTGCCATCGTGATTGCTACTGCAGCGTCCCCATTGAATTCTGGAGAATCCTCTTCCGGCCGTTTTTTCCAGCAGGTGAGTTTATTTCTTGTGGTGACGGAGACATGGAAATTCATTAATGCGTACTCATATTGCTGGTAACTCTCTAGGGAGAATAAGACTGTCGTTATTCATGAAATAGCTTCCTTACGGATATAGTTTATTTCTTCAGGTTCTTGAAACACGTACCAATAATGACGGAGACGACTGCATAGGAAGGAGCTTGGTGACAAGTGTAGGATGGGCACCCGTGGGTTCATCTGTTGGTCAGCTGGCTGCTGCATGCGGCAATACTTTACTATTGTATTCACCCACGACGTTGGCGAGTGCCACAGCTGGCTCACGTTATTCAGGTTTCCGACTTACTCGATCTTTAGGAACTGCAGTCAGATTAGGCATGTACTTCATAGTGTTTAGTTATCCCTGCAGTTCTTCATGCAGGATTTTGTCTATATTGCTGCTATAACCGACTTATGAAAGGTTGATTTCATGGTTTGCAGAGATTCCATTGGCGTGGGAAACCAAGCAGGTCATGCAACACTTATTTCAGATTCTCACTTTTTCATGGACCGAATCAGGAGATGGGCTACTAGCTGCCGGATCAAATATTGCCATGTGGAAACGGGGTGAAGCAGGATTTTCGGTTCTCTGGCAAGTTCAGTGTACTGTACCCCAAGTGTATGCAGCTTCTTCATGGTCCTCTGCTGGTCTGGCAGCCACGGTGGATTGTACTCTGGGGACGCATCCTAAATCTGTTGCGACGAAAGAGTCAACTATCGATGGAGAAACTTCGGACTCATTGAACTCATTAAGCGGAAAAGCAACAGTGTGGTGGTGGTGGCAGGAAGCTCATGAAATTCAAGGGATTGAGTTACAACACCCTTCTGAGGTTTCTATGATCCAGTGGAGGCCGTCGAATGGTTGCGGAGAGGATCCATTCACTTATCGGCCTGTGCTTCTTACGTCTTCAAGAGATGGCTCTTTACGCCTATGGCTGGACATGGAAGGTCCTAGCTATTTAAGCTTCTGTTTTGGAGACAGTCAGGAATTGAGAAAGAAGCCCACTTTCTCCATGGCTGCTGTGGTTGACGTGAACAAGTGCTTGAATGGCATTCTAGGATACGACATCTTTGTGACCTGGGCTTCTGAAAACAGGACCCGGGGTAATTCTGAAGAGAAGAGGCTCTTAACGAGAAATAACAGTGTAAAAAGGCCAGATTTAATACCTTGTGAGTGGCTGGTTGGAGTTGGGCCTCGTGGCAAAGTTGCACTATGGTCTATTCACAGTCTGGATGATATATTACCTACACGTTTTCCTCGAGTTACTCTTTGGCAGGAGGGGGATGGTGTTTTAGCTCAGCCATCTACATTCTATCCATTTCGAATGGAGGATGCTGATAATGCGAGGGATCGACTGATGATGATGAAAGCTGTTGTTCAAAGACCTGAAGGGGCGATGGCCGTCCCTCCTTCTTCTTTGGATCTTTTTGAAGCTCTTCCAAGTGGACATTTTCGATGGTCCCGCTTATGGCCACCTGTTTCTGCCGTAGGAACTGGAGGAGGTCACGTCGGCTCAGGAACCCAAACATCAAGAAATAAAAGTTCATGGGGGGTATCATCTGAAGTTGTTTATCTAGATGGTCATCGTGGTGCTATCGTTCAGGTTGCTCTTCATCCTAGCCCTACAGTTGCGCTTGCAGCTTCTGTTGATGAGCAAGGAGTTATCTTGTTGTGGGACTTATCTGCATGGGCTAGTCCTCAGGTCGAAGTCATGAGCTCACAAACTTTAGGTTGGAAGTTGGCTGGTCAAATCTCAGGTCTCCTTAATACGTCGTTGTTTTATCAGCTAATTGCATGGGCTCCTTCATCTTTACCTGAAGGGAGAGCTATATTGCTTGCCGGAGACCTCATGAAAATCGACTGCTTTTTAGTTGGTAGGAGTGATTCACAACGGAAGGGTGTAACGTCTGTTCTCTTTGATCACCTGTACTCCCTGCACTGCTCCACTTTTGACAAGGGGGATCACCTTAACGCCTTCACTGCGGTTCCTATGCCATTGAATGCTCTTCAGCAGGTTGCTGAAGAGAGAAGCTTTCTCATCGTAGGGACCAACCGAGGAGGTAGTATCTTAGCTTCATGGGTGGTGGAGTTACAAGTGACTGCGCTCTCTGATGGTGGCCAAGATGATAAGGTTGCTGCAGTAGATACCCAAGAGGTTCAGGAGACGGAGAGGCCTCACTCTAAACTCCAATATTTGGAAAAGTCAGGTTACACGCTATATGGAGGCTCTCTTACCTCTCAGGAGCGAATATACATAAGAGGCAGTTTTGTAGGGTCCGCAAATTTTGATGCTGATCAGTGTGTGACAAGCATTGCTGTAGTTCCAGGATTTATCAAAGGTTCTTTGTCAACCCATTTGGAGGTGTACCAGAAGGCCCACCCATATGATGTTTTGACAGGTTGTGCAGATGGTAGTATTCGATTGTATAAAGTCTTCTGCTCTCAGGCACATTCAGTTGTGCCTCAAACTAGGTCTTTCGTCTGGGAATGCGTAGGTGTTGTGCGTGCTCACTGTAGTTCTGTAATCTTAGCTGCTGCAACTGCTAGTGGTGATAAGTTTGCTTCGGTTGGGGACGCGGATCACAAGTTAGTGAAGATTTGGGAAGTGGACGGCTGCAACGATGATGGGGACTTTGAACTTGAAAGTCAAATTACTTTTCCGCAAGCCGTCGTTGCATTAAGCTGGATGAATGCTGGTATGGGCTGCGTGCTGCTGGCTGTTGCAACAAAATTCGATCTTTTCATTTATGCCCAAGACAGGACATATTCTCATAAGGGGGTTCCGAAAGATAGAGTCTGGATCTGCCTTGCCTCCTTTTTGTTTAATACTGCGATTGATCATCTTTTCTGGAGCTTTCAGGGTTCACCTATACTGGCATCACAAGGCCATATATGGGTTTTCAGCCCCTGGGTTTGTTCAAAGACGAGATTAAGTGGTTATCATGGTTACGTACATTCTTCAAACGGAATTCCTCAGCCAGCCGCGCGTCACTCATGTAGTCTTCTTCAAGCCGCAGAAGCACTTGTTTCTCCTTTACCGGATTATCACCCCAGAGCGCTTTTTTGGAGCTTATTTAAAGGTGGGGACTTCTCTGACATTAGTTTCTTGTATCCACGCTTTGTTCTTCTGTGGTTTTGTCATTTTTCGAAACGTATTGTTTAGCTACGCTGGAAAAGGCTAGCTACATAAGAAAGTCCTCAGATGTTAATGTCGGGGAATCTGTTGGTCTGCTTTCATCCAATGTAATTATTCCTTACTTAGGTTCGAGAATTTTGCTCCTTTTTCCTCGTCAAAAGTCATTTCAGAAAAAGTGTGACGGATGACAATGTAATGTTTACAGGAAATATGTCACGGGCTCGTGCATGTGTTCGTCATCTTGCTCACCACTTGGCAACTTCTGCAAAATCTACTGCAAAACGTGATGGGACACTTCATTCTGATTGGATCGATGGAGCTTACATCCGTGTTCCTCGCATGAGACTGGCTAATCTTCTTCAAAATGATGTTTCTATCACGACTCAATCCTCAGCGAATTCGGATTCTGCTTACAAAGCAAATTTCACTCTTATGAACTCTGATATGACTCAACCAGTGCCATCAAATGTTAACGATAAATATTCATTTTTGAACAACACATCATGGTTGGATGAGTTTTCCGATGAGATTAGTGAGACTAAGACATTGAATAAGACTCAATCACAAGACTCCGTTAAAACTGGGGGTTTAGAGTCTTTTTCTCAAACTGAGATGGAAGCCATTATACAATTTATAAAAGAATCCAAAAGTGTGTTACAGCTCTCTAAGGAAGAAATCAATCAGGTGCTTGCACTGGTGGAAGTGGTGGGGGAAATGGATGGTGTTAGGCAACCTTCACGATGTGCAGGTCTTGACACCTCTGGACAAAGGTGAGGTGACTCTGCAAAGCTGGAATGTATATATTTCATGACGACTTGTACTCAAAGATTTTGATAAGACACCAGCTTGAAATGAGTTGATGTATTCTGAAGTATTTGTGGCATAAACCTGCATGATAGTCATTTGACGTGCTTCACTTTATTGTGCTTCAGGTTTTGGTTGGCGTATCGATACAACAGTTTACTTGCGTCGCAATCAGTTGGTCAGAAGGGAGATATACGAGGTAGTCAAGTGGATTCAGAAGCATTGGCGTGGGCTTTGCAGTCGGATACCAAGGAGACTCTGCTGGATATTTGCGCATCCGAACAATCTTTGTGGCCAGAATTACGTGCACTGGGTGTTGGCTTTTGGTTTACTGATGCCGTTCCCCTTAAGAAAAAGGTCTCTGTGCCATATTGTTATTTTTCCTTTCATCCTACTTACCATCTTTTACTCTTTGCTCCATATCTCGATCACGTCAAATTTTCTTTACCTCACTTCTATCTGTCCTTTATTTGACTTTGTTGTTCAGATCATAGGTTTCGTTTTCACGAGTTTTCTGATGTATTTATAATTGTTTTGACAGTCGCATGAATGTCTTGGAAAGTACCATACTAAGTGCTAAGATGATGGGGATACAGATGGAGAAAGTGGCTCGGTTACAATTTATGGCAAGCAGAGATGCCAAAGACTGTGCCTTGCTGTATATAGCTTTGGAGCGACGCACAATTTTGGCGGGGCTTTTTAAAATAAGTAAAGATGAGCGTGATAGACCTCTTGTCGACTTCATGGCTAGAGACTTTCGAGTAAGCTAACTGCCTGTTAATGAAAGATATGAAGATTGTATATATACGTTCATTCAATTTGTTAGTACAAGAGTTCCATAGCCGCTGCTTAGTGTCGTTATATCTTCCATACAAAATGTAAGAACCTTTTGAAAATGTGCTGGTGAGTCAAGGGGGTCACATGAACTTCTCTTTTGTTAGTTCGGTTAGTTCTATTTGTATTAAGTTGGTTCACTTGGGCTGTTCTCAGCATAATTGCAGTGCTTTATTGTGGCTGGCAGGAGGAGAAGCACAAGGCAGCTGCTCTTAAGAATGCCTATGTTTTAATGGGAAAGCATAGGCATGAGCTGGCAGCAGCATTTTTTCTACTGGGTGGAGACATGGATTCTGCGGTGTCTGTCTGTATAAAGAACCTGGAAGATCCGCAGCTAGGGTTGGTTGTGTGTCGCCTTGTAGAAGGTGCCGACGGTCCTGTTGGACGCAAAATGATCAGCAAATATGTTCTCCCAGGGGCTTTAAGGGCTGAAGATTATTGGCTCGCAAGTCTTTGTCAGGTTGGTTATTCTGGTCTTGATCATCCTCCTGTCCATGTACAAGTGGAACTTCTTACCTCGACATTCTGTTTATAAGCGGCAGCCATGTGCGTGACTTTGCTTCATGCTGTTCAGTATTTTTATGAAGTTTATTGTTGCCGCTTCTGGTTAGTTACAGAAATAGTCTGGTGTCTATTTAGTTGTTTTTGTCAAGTTCTTTCATATTCTTAGAAGCAATTTGGGGTCTTTTATGTCTTGCAGTGGTTATTGGGCAATGGAATTGAGACTATGCATGAGGTTGTTTCTGGACACCAGCCTTCTATATCTTTTCAGAGCGTGCAGGGGAACGCAACTGAAACCAAAACAATCAGTAGTTCCATTCCTTTGGATCCTGATGTGGCAGATTACTGCTCTGTTCTAGCATTAAAGCCTCGTATTCTTCGAGAACCTAACAGAGGAAAAGTGGTGGCCATCTCAAAGCAAGCCACACTGCGAGCTTCATTAGCACTGAGGAAAATTGGACTTCCTGTAAGTTTCTAGTCACATTACAGTTTAGCTTCGGTGAAGTGTGTAAGTACCTGTTTTTATTTTTTCCAGTTGGGTGTGGTAGGATGTCAAGGTTGCTTTCATTGGGAAACTTTGTAGTGTCTGTAGAAACTTCTGTGATGCTTGGAAAGTGATCTTCGAGATAAATCGTGTTAAATTGATGTATTGATGTAAGTGCTGAAGTTTGTTCCTTGTCATATTAAAATCCTGGAATTTGTAGATGTTTCCCTTTTTTAAATATAAAGCCTTACACTGGTTATTCGGTGTCAGAACAGAAGTGCTTATTGAGAGAGAAATAGCACATGTTAAATGTGATTTGAACCGTTTTGTTTAAATTGTGTGATGCATCAGCTGCAAGCTCTAGAGCTTATGACAGCTAACTCTGGTGTTAAGAATATTGCTGAAAGCGGGCGACGAGAGAATTCCTCACAAAGCATGGGCTTCAATCTGGACCTTGTGAAACTTGCGGCCTCTCAAGATGGACGTATTCATACGAATCGCCTTCTCCCCGAACTGATTGCAGATATTCAAGAGCTTTCAAAACTGAACCTTGCTCTTGAGTTGATGTCAGAACTGGTGCAAGAATACTCGGATTGGACAGGTGCACAGCAAGGCTTTATGCGCAGGCTTCCAGACGTACCTGAGGGTGGTGAATCATCTAGTAATGCTGAGGCGGGGTCTGCTAGCGAAGAGGACGCTGAGAAAAGAATTGAAGAAGGGCTTGAGGTGTTGAAAAGGACTTTTTCTCTAGATGTCTCTGCCTTTGTTGCTGGGGTATGTTGGCAAACCTTCAAGACTGGAATTTTCATTTTTGTTCCCAGAAACCCTATAATGAGCGCAAGAGAGATGAAGTATTCAGGGTCTGGGTTGCTTTCAGGGTGATACAACTGCAGACGTTACAAGGGTTTTTATGCTTTGTTGTCCTTCTCATGGTTTGTTCAAATGTTTTCGTTGTAGTTTTCCGTAAATACCAAATATTCTGAAGGTTCGAATTTTTATGCAGCCTTCACATGTATTAAGACCGTGTGTTCGTTACGTTATTCTCAAGTTATTCTGTGAATGTGCGAATGGCAGGTCGTAACGTGGGCCTTAAATCATCATCGGCTGTATGTCTACTATCGTTATCTACTTGCACAGCACGCAGGATTCAAAAATCCGGAACAGAAGTTCAGTTTAAGCTCTGGAGTAGGTCTGACTTTAAAATGCGATATTTTGGGATCAATATGGACAGAAGCCCCGTGGGGACTTGCTCGGATGATCCTGGGTTGTGGTGGCTCAGTTTCCTCATTGCCTTTCATCGCATCTAAATGGCTTCCTTGGAAATCTACGATGCCTAAGGAACAGATTGAGGAACTGGTACGTTATGGAGGAGAGCTCCAGAAACTCGCAAGTTTATTGAGTGGATATACTGGTTCTACTGACAGTCAAGTGAACGAAAATCCATTTCATTTGGGAAATGAAGACTTAAAGAATAAGACTCAGCGGGCCATGATCCTTCTAGCATTTGTCTACTACGTAAGCGCAGCATGGCTAGGAAAGAATGGGAGAGCTCTTGTCGCCTTAGTCAGGCCGACAATTAGTGACGCGACAAAAGCCCCTGAAGTACCTAAAACAAACAATAGCGTGAAATGGTTCCGAGATCTCAGTTCTCAATCTCGTGTGGAACAAAGCAGTTTGACAACTTCTGCAGTCTCTAGGAACTTGGGCGCATCTGTCTCAATACCTGAGGAAGAAGCATGGCGAGTTACTGGTGTTGCCCTTTGGGTTCACATGGTTGCTTACATCAAAAAACAGTTGGCAGGAACGGGAAAGGAGACTGGCTACAGTGGATTTGGCCGTGTCTCGGTCCCCCTAGCCCCACCGAAAAATGCATCAAGTTTGTCGTCATCTAATGTTGCCAGCGCTTCGCCAGCCCCCTCCACCTCTTCATCTAGCCGGCTGGTAGCTACCTTTATGGGTCTTGGAATACAATCTGCATCTGCCGGGTCCTCCACAGCATGGTCTGAAATAAAAAATAAAATGCGGGAAGATACTCAAGCAGCAACGAATGTCTCAACTCCAAGTAACCGAGATATTGTCAGAGTGGTGGATAGTCCAAGATCAAACAGGAATTATGGAGATCTTTATTTATCTCTGCTCAGTTCCCTAGGATGTGTAGCTACTGGACTTCAACAGCAATTAGCTGCACATCTGCAAACTTTGTTGGAAACAAAAGGAAACAGCGATCCCTTGGTGCTTTGGCTTTGGGGAAAGTCTCCTGATTCAAAGATGGAGGGTTCAAATTCTCCAAATGCAGGGACATCTGCAAACAAACCAGCTAGTACTAGCGTTTGGAGGCAGCAATCGCCAGTTTATCCAGAAATTCAGCTGGGTGGAGACGATGAATCTAGTAAGGAACTCTGGTCGCTTTTGGTTATGAAAGAAAGTATACGATCCACCCTGGCAATGGAGGGTGTGATTGCACCTAGACCTATCATACCAAGTGCTAATGTAGGTGGCTGGCGAGAAGCAAGGAAGAGGTCCACTCTTTCGGTTACTGGAGTGGATAAGCAAACTTCAACAGACTCTTCTACCAAGAACAGTAGGATTACGGATAAGGCTCTCACTATCGGAGGCACTCGAGATCGCGAAGGATCGGAGGGGTGTTATGCACCAGAATTTCAGAAGCCGGAAGTTATGTTTTCTTTGAGTGGCGAGCTTATTGAGGTGAATTTCTCTGTTAATGTATCATTTCGTCGATTTTCAATCAATTTTTTTGTGAACATTCTCATAATCTTACACGAGAAAGTAGGTGATGAACGAGTTGCGTTTCGTTCATGTGTTCCATTAGACGTGAGAACTGCGAGTACATCCGCTTACCCTCATAGATAGCAGAACTTTAAATGATTCTTATTGGGGTGGTTTGTCATTCATTGTTTCTTAAACCTCGTTCAAGTGTGGATCTGGATCAGTAAAATAAACACGTACTAGCCTGATTTCTCCTCTCATTCTTTGGGCTGTGTCAGGCATTTTGTATAAATTCTTGTAATCCGAATCAAGTTGTTCTCGCCACCAATCGCAAGGTATTTTACTTATCCTATTGATTACAATTCTTTACTTTGGTGAGGGTATTAAATCTGGAACTGTTTGTTGATTAATGAATGCCAATCCTCATCATGGCTTAAATGCTTCAATACGTTGAAATTTTTTAGGACTAAATTGTTTGAAATATGGCTGAAGCTGCATCATGTAATGGAGTTAATTTGAAATCAATGGGAAATACTAGGCACTTTGTTCACATCTCTTACACATAACCTGAAGTTGGACAATCATATTGTTATGAAGCCCATGGAAAGCATAATAATATCAATAGAAGAATTCCAAACTCTATGGGCCTTTCAGTATGGAGGAACAAACTCGAAGGAACACGATGTATTATTGCAGCAGTACTGATGTTGACTTGTCAAGGCTAAGCATCTGTTACCATCAACTACTGGAGGTTGTTGGTTACATTCTTGAATGCATGTGTTTGATTGTCCTCTTCAACGTGATCTACTTATGTCGTACAGCTGAGTACAATATGAAGAGCATTTCATCAGACATCTCGTATATATTCACATCAAACTTGCTTCTTCCTGTTTTTACACTGTAACAGAACTTTTTGTGATCTCCAATAGCAGGGACTGATGTATCTAGATTTGCACACACGTGGACCATTCACCGAGACCTCCGAACCCGTGTTGGAGGAATGTCTCTCGTCTCCACCGAGGAGAAGTAGCTGGGCAGGAGCGGTGGCAACTCCTGGGTCTAATTTGAGAAGTCAGAGAAGTTCAACTGTAAGTTTAGGTGGTCCCGCAGCAGGTGGACCTGTGAAGTCAGGAAAGGAAACTCTCAGAGTTGGGGGTGCTGCATTTGGGATGCCTGGTTACGGAGGCATGGGTGCTTGGGGTGGTTGGGAGGACTGGGAAGATGTTGATAGTTTCGTGGACCCAATTGCCACTGTTGATAATGTGAGAACTAAGGCATTAGCAGCTCATCCATCCCAACCTATTTTCTTAGTTGGGTCGAACAACACACATGTCTACCTTTGGGAGGTATGTATATCACAAAAGTATTCTTCTGTCATCATAAGCAGAAAATCGTGTAATTCTCCTTGGTTGAATTCTACCTTGTTTCATTTCATGTGCGTTATTCAAAAATTAGTTTGATGTTTTGAATCTAGATGACCTTGGTCATAGTTAATGGGGCCATGACATATTGGTGGTGCACATGTGTCAACCGAAATTGGATGTTATTATTGTGAGGTCAAATGAGTTAGATAATTGATGTTCGTGATGGTATGTTATCAGTATGGAAGACCAAGTGCAACAGCAACTTATGGTGTGCTACCAGCAGGCAACATGCCTCCACCGTACGTCATTCCTTCTGTTCAAACAGTTCGATTTGACTCAGGTGGACACCGCTTCGTGACAGCTGCTATGGATGGTACTGTGTCCACCTGGCAGCTTGAAGTTGGAGGACGCAGCAATGTTCGCCCCACAGAATCTTGTCTCTTCTTCGGCGCCCATGCCTCGTAAGAAAAACATGTGAATGCGGATGTGCTGGATATTTGAGTTTTCACATTGTGTTGATTTGTGGTGTTCGGATCAAGACATGATGTGCTTTCTATGGGAAGTATTCTCTTTGTTGAGTTGTGTGCTTGCTATGTGTTACTTTGGCATATTCCACGTTAACATTGATTGTGACACATTGGACCTTGTCATTTCTTGTAGATAGCTGTAACAATGTTCAGATGTAAAATAGGTTTCTATCCATAACATTTGCTCATCTCTGCCATGTGATGGTTTGTTAATTCAGGAGAACAATGGGCTGTCTTTATTTTAGGAGACCTGACGTGTAGTAAAAGGTGTTGGTCTTTGGCTGAAGTCTGGATCATTTTGTCTCACCGCCTGAATCATCGCAGGGATGCCACCTTTATTGTGGGCAGCAACTCGCTTGTAGCTGCCACAGGAATGACCAACACTGGGAACAATTTAATAGCATGGGAAACCCTAGCACCTCCCAGTTCAAATCGTCAATCTATTTCGTGTCATGAAGGTATGTTCCTGAATCATTACCGTGTATGGACATTTGTAGTCCATGCCGATACTTATTATTCGTGGCTTTCTTCTGAATTTCCTCGGTCTTCAAAGCTTGACTATTACTGTAGTAGTTTTCTGACATGACGATTAGCAGAGCATTCTGTTTCTTTGGCGTAATAACCAGCCATTAAGCAAGCAGTTTGCTAGCGTTTAGGAGGCTAATATGTGTCAGAAAGTCACGAGTCCCATCTCATACAAAAGTATTGATATAAAGTTAAGGCTGTAGATGCAATTAAAAAATGCATATAGTCTTGAAGATTTTGATACCACAGCCTGTGATTGCTGCAGGAGGTGCCCGCTGTATTGCTTCCTTGGATGTTGGGATTGGAGGGAGTTCAAATTCACCTTGGATCGTAAGTGGAGGAAAGGGAGGCGATATTACTGTTCACGATTTTCGGTACATCCTGTCAAAGAAAGGCAGACGACCTCAGTCGCCTCTATCATCAAGTTCCAAGAACAGTGTAGATGAGTCTGGGAGAAACGGGATGTTGTGGCATGTATCTAAGGCACATTCAGGTAACCTTTTAACTTTGGTAGTGGATTATGATAGTTCTAATTTAGAATTGGTCTTAATGTAAGCAAATATTAAGACAGGTAACCCACCTATAAAGTGGTCAGATAGGGTCATAAGTAAGGACTGAAACTTGCAAGTAATGTTTGGAGGCCGGTTTTAGCTGAAGAAAGCTTCAACAATATTCGATTTCCTTCGTTACGAAAGTTGAACATGTTTTAACATGCAATATTGACCCGAACAATCACAGGAAGCGTCACAAGAGCAACATCAGTCCCAGGAACACCATACTTTTTTACCGGAAGCAAGGATGGAGACATAAAGCTCTGGGATGTGAGCACAAGGTCAATGGTGGGTCACTGGCAAAGAGTTCATGAGCGTCACACATTTCTTCAAGTTAATTCAAGGAGCTTGGGTTCTATAATTCAGGCAAGTTAATTCTTTACAGCCTCGAACTTGCATATTATCGAACCAGGCATTGAATTGTTGCGTTCTTTCGGTATTTTGTCCTTAAAGGATCAGATTGGTTCACATGTTCATGGTCAAACGTTTAGCCTAGATCATGATGTTGATGAGCTATCTTGTGGTCTTTTAATTTTGCATGGGATAAGAGTTTAGGTGGGCCAATCAACTACTAATTATTGCATGAGTAATACATTGATTTCAAAGAGTAAAATCTGCATGAGTTCAAGCGAATAAGCTAAATTTACAGCAAATGGGTCGCTGTTTATGAGATGGTTTTGAGCAGTCTATAAGGAGAGACGGGTTTTTATTCCAAATAGCAGATTTTATTTGCAAGTCATAATATATTCATTTCTCGATCGCAGCAAGCTGCGGTTACTGATGTGCAACCAACCGTGGACGGATTCTTAAGCTGTGGCGGTGACGGCACTGTCAAATTGTTCAAACACCAATACTAGGAGGTACTACTTTGATGGAACGTGCTATCTTAACTTAGGCACCTCACTCTTTCAGGCTGTGAGAATTATGCATTCAATTATCATTTTTTGTAGGCCGATCCTATTATGACTTGACAGAGGCAGTGACTCATTAGTTCAGGGCTATTGCAGGTCCGTTGTACCATTTTGTTAGGTTTGTTAGAGTTGCCACTGGACACAGTTGCATTCTTGGTAGCTCAAGGTTTAGATGAGATTACGGAGAACTAGGAAATTCTTATGTCAGTAGCTGACAACATGTGAAATAATCATGAGTTCGTGTTTATCATGTTTCCATTAGGCGGTTTCCATTGATGAATCACAACAATCCACGCCATTTTATTCTATCCTTGGAGTGGTGATGTTGATAATATGTATCCAAGCGTTGAGTGATTTCAAACGCAGCATTTACTAAATTCATTTGAGCTCCAGATGTGGGAACCTCCTCAAACGAATTATATATCTTCTATTGCTCCAACACATGTAGCAGTACTTGCAGGGCACTGAGCTGCGAAGTTGGCTTCTTTCTTCAACGCAGAACAGCAGCTCAATCTTGCTCCTATCCTCCTGATCTTTGTGAGCTTCAACCAGTATTGCCACCGCGGAAAGATTTTCATGCCCTTAACCTGACACTACCTAGCAGGTTCCCGTGTTCTAGAACTACCTTTTTGTCATACCACCTTTGGTGATTGAGGTGTGATTCATTGTGGCGAAGTCTTTCAAAGATGGCCCTCCACCTGAACTGATCAGAACAATGTTTCTTAGTCGAACGCTGCTTACAACCTCGTGAATCATGGTAATATCTGTGAACTTTTGTGCAAAGTCTGATGGATTTTCTATATGTAACGAAGATTTCCTCCAGCGTCTGGCGAAAGTGTCCTATTTGCCAATATTAGCATGGTCTTCCCAAGATCTGTGCTCATGGAGGTAGAGTCTGAAGGAAGCAGCGTGCAGACATATACACACATTGCCAGCACAATGGCTGACTGAGTGAGTCTGAGGAATCCATGACACTATCATTCAAACGCTGTCATCTCCCTGGTTTCTGTGGTTCCATCTTCTCGAACCTTAATACGTCCAGAATCCAGATTATTTTACTTGAGAAGTTTTTCCCCTCATTTGTTCAATAGGCAATATCAACAAAAAAATTAAACATGAGAATCAAGAAATTCAACCCAATTTTTCTGTATGGCAACGATGCAAATCCCATTGTCCTGGATTGAACAATCTTGACAATCCTCACCACCTCCAATGGCGTGCTCTAATTCGGATCTACTAAGAACATACTGTTTCCTACACCATGCCGCATGTAGGGGATGCCTTTCTTATCCCAGAATGCAAGGGAGCAATTCATAACCACTCTCCTATCTTCAAAGAGTTATAAATTATGCCTGAAAGTTTATTAGACTATGTTTTTCTCTTAAGATGGGGGGGGGGGGGGGGGAGAGAGAGAGAGAGAGGGAGAGAAAGAAATAAAGAAAAATACACTTAATTTATTGTGATTTTTATGGTGCTACTTCGCTAGTTATTTGGGTTACTGAGATATTGTACACAGTTTCGACATTTGCCTTAAAAAATAAAAAAAATAAAAAAAAACAAGCTTCATCGTGTACCATATATCGTTACCCAAAACATATGCGAGCTCTTGAATCAGTTCAATGAGCCAACTTTTGGACATAGAGTTAATCCTTTTGCATTTTGTCGTATTGCGTGAGGAAGTCTCACAAGAAATCCAACGACACAAAAATAGACTTCGGAACAAGGCATTCAAGAATTTGATGCGACTTTCTGAAGGGAGTGGCTGTTTCACAGCAGAATCTACATCTCGCAAACTCATCCACTTTGGAATCAATCGAAGATATCTTTCGCCCGAAAATAGAATCCGAAACGCGTGGCCCAACGATCTCCACATCGAGAATGAATGTCAAAGGTTTTCAGTGGGACCCAGAAGGCGAATGCTACAAATTTCAGGCATTTAGTACCTCCCCATAGAATTAGCTCTAATTACCTCGAATTAGTCACCTCATTAACGGCGATGGCCAGGATCCTCTTCCCTTAAGGTGGGTCCCGTTGCCCGTGTCGTCTGCCAGGGAGGGGCCGCTACTAGAGCCAATTTGGATTATGAATTTTTTTTGCGCATGGAAGGCGTGCAGCTCCTCCTGGTTCACTTGATTTGCTGTCCACGATTTCCCTTTACATCTTCTTCTTATGGGCTGCAATTAAGGTTTGGAAACTATCTTATACCTCTGTCTGGTTAGACACATTCACCGCAACGTGTGGCATGTGAAGCTCAGATTAGTGGATGCGGCGTTGATAACAATTGGAAATCCAAACTCTAACACTCTTGGTGTGGTCGCTGTGTTTGTCTAGTTGCTTTGCGTCGGCCAAGACCGTTCGGCCAGCGTCGCAGTGCTGAGGAGATGAATTTTGTCAAGAGCAGAGGAGGGAGATGGTGGAATTCGGTACACAGGGAGAAGAGTGTGTTTCTGGATGCGGAGCAGGGGGGCGTGATGATATCAACTGACGGAGAGAGTCAGTGAAGTGAGAAGAACGGAGGAGTTGAGTGGGATCTTTGTTGTGAAGGATCAGTGTATGTTCAAAGAAATGGCGGTGGATACGATGGCGAGTGTGGAGGTGCCGGCGTTTGGTAGACGATCCATGAGTGTTGAAATGCCAGGTAAACCCGCAAGGAGGTCCATGAGCGTTGAGCAGCCTTACGTCCCTGCGAGACGATCAATGAGCATTGAAGTGCCGAATTCGAAGCGATTGTCGAGGCCAAGTTTAATTTTAAAGCGGAGTACTACCGAATGGTAATTAATCGCATCAGTTCTGATCCTAATTCAGTTTCGCGCGTGTCTACTAAGAGTCTTTGTTTCATAATTTGCAGCTGGCTACCTATTGGTTCTAATGTAATCCCTAAACCCCCAGTATCCGTATGCCTGATCCAAAGCACCTTCCGACCTTTTACCGTTTCTCTACTCCCTGGTCTTGCACTTCCATAAGTGCCGAGACGCACAACTGAGAATTCTTAGGTCGTGTACGAAAGATATGACTTATTCAGCAACTGATTAGCGCATTTTAGGCATAACATTTGTGACCACATCTTGGTAGACTACACCATTCATGAGTGGCAACATTTTCGCTCATTTTTACTCGCAGACACTCTCTTTTATTTAACTTTTATTTATTCTTCTAAATTTTGATTTAACGTGGAAGCAGTTCTCCTCAACTCAGGCTCGTTTTAAGACACCACTGTTTGATCACATTGAGCTAAACACTGGTGTACAGGTGTTTGGAAGGAATACAATGACATTCTGCTCTTCACGTGCATGTGTCTTGTATCCGCACGTAGCAAAGTCTTGCAAATTGTCCCGCCCATGTTGATTGTCGCTGGAGTGAGTTCGACGAACAATTGTAATCCTAAACTTTTCTGCTGCTCTGGCATTGCAGGCGCGTGTCCACTGATGCTCCTGCTGACATTGTTGTTGAGGTTGGCGGTCAGAGCTTTGCCCTGCACAAGGTACTTTTCAATTCCGTAACTTGCAGATTCCGTGAACGTCACATAGTCAATTGAACCTGTCAGGTGTTACACTAAGTATGTATGAGCTTGTCATCTTGCTGACTCGTAGGCTACTCATATGAATCAACTTTTAATTGCAGCTCTTGAATTGCGTTGAAATGGTTAGGGAGCGAAAAATTTAGGATTTAACGAGCAGGTGCAAAAATATATGCCATGTAACTTGGAAGTCGTGGATGTTGATGAGCAAGTTTGTAACCAGTTCCCTCTCTGTTGCATTTTCCAGTTTCCTCTAGTCGCAAGAAGCGGAAAAATTAGGAGGCTAGTAGCCTCTGAAAAAGCCGATGAAAATGGAATCCTTCATCTACAGCTGCCGGATCTGCCAGGCGGCTCTGAAGCTTTCGACTTGGCAGCCAAATTTTGTTATGGCATCAATTACGACATTACCACATACAATGTGGCTCTTCTCCGCTGCGCAGCTGATTATTTGGAGATGAATGAACAGTGGGGCGACAACAACCTCGTGGAGCGCACAGAGAAGTTTCTCAACGAATTTGTGTTGCAAAACCTTGCAGAATCCATTGCTGTACTTCACAACTGCGAGAGCTTACTGCCGCTTGCGGAGGACCTGAAACTGGTTAACAGGTGCATACAGGCAGCAGCGATCAAAGCAGTCAGGTACAAAGATATTATGTTGTGAACAAGTTGAAATTTCGTACATGATGTGCAGCTTTTTAAGTCGAAATCAGGCTCATCCCGCACCAAGATCAACCATAGAACTGTGCACGAATGAACAAGTTGTCATTGCCTTGCTGACTTCATTATGCAGGGACCAGGCCGGAGACTACGAAGGCTCCTCACATCTAGACAACGTCAAAGTCTCACATAATGATACTCCTACTGCTCCTGTCGTAGAATGGTGGGCAGAAGATCTCGCTGTTCTTCGCTTTGACTTTTTCCAAAAAGTGCTTGCCCAAATGAGAACAAGAGGAATGCGCTGTGAGAGTCTAGGGGGTGCTGTGATGCATTACGCACATCGTGCCCTCAAAGGTATACACAAGCGGCAGATAATGAAATCGCCCAAACCTCAGGTACTGATAGTCGTCCCGGTCCTCATGGTTATAATTGCTCACGTCCCGAACCTGGGAATGTAGATACAGAAATTGTATTGCATTAAACTTCTCGTGATTGCTGAAGGATTCAACAGCACAGAGAAGTACCGTGCTGAATTGTATTCAATCAAGGCCTTAATACATTGCTGACTAATAGAATTCGTTTTCTTCTTCTTCTTCGTCTCTTTCTAAACGACCACGGTGCCATCAGTATCATTTGTGTATTGTCAATCATCGGCATTGTTTTTGAAGTGCACCCAACCACTTCAAAGGAGCCTGTCCGTTATTTGATACTTAATCGTTGCGTTTTGTTTTCAGATTCATTCGCCTGCATTGTCTTTGGAGCATGAGCAGCGAATCTTAGTGGAAGCGATAGTTAGTATAATGCCACCAGAGAGAAACGCGATTTCTTGCAGCTTCTTATTCGGATTGCTGCGTGCAGCTGTTGTCTTGGAGTGCACCTTAGCTTGTCGCCTTGATCTTGAGAGACGCATCGGTTTGCAGCTAGAGCAAGCTACTCTGGATGACTTATTGATTCCTTCAGTTAACCACAGTGGAGAAACTCTCTTCGACGTAGATGCGGTACAACGGATTTTGAACTGCTTCATGCAGCAAGATGGTGACGGAGAAGTTGATGTAAGACTAGAGACATGTGGCGTCATTTCTACATTCAAAACACAATTGCATGGCTTGTTGTCGAATTTGAATTCAGAGATAGAACTGGTTGAAAATTCTGTGCGTGGATCAAAATTTTGTACTTGGACTAATACATACTAGTTCTCTATAGATTTTTTGACAAATCTGATGACCTGCTACTATTATCTGCAGCACACGGATCCTATGTATGAAGCTGAAGGCGTAGGATCTCCTACTCAAAGTGCACTTATAAAAGTTGCAAAATTACTCGACACATATCTAGCAGAAATCGCCCCAGACGCTAATCTCACAATCAGTAAATTCATGGCGCTTGCTGAAGTGCTACCAGAGCATGCGAGGAGAGTTGACGACGGGTTATATAGAGCAGTCGATGTATTCCTCAAGGTGAGTCCATAATCACGAGTTGATCTTACCTCCTTTGCTTTCCCTACTGTATGCCTTGTAACAAAATTTTGTGTTTTTCACCCGAGTCAATGGTCAGTTCTAGCACCAGCTCTATTCAATTTTATTTTGTTTTCATCGTAACTCTGTAAGGACCTTTAGTATCAACATAATCTTTTGTCTGTGAACACTGCATGATGTTTCTTGAATTATTGAACGTGTTGATGCAATCATGCATTACGTTCTGCACATGTTGATGCTCATCTGAATTCATCCAGGCACATCCGGCAATAATTGAGGCGGAACGCAAGACATTGTGCAAGATAATAGACTGCCAAAAACTCTCTCAGGATGCTTGCACGCATGCTGCGCAGAACGAAAGGCTCCCAGTCCAGGTAGTTGTCCAGGTTCTCTACTTCGAACAACTGCGATTGCGAAATGCAATGTCTACTATAAACACCAGAGACCCAGTTCTACGTCTCCAACTATCTCAAAGGATGACGGTTGGAAATGTAGCCACTGGACAACCACCGAACGAAAACTACGAGTCTGTGCGGAGGGAGAATCGAGACCTGAAGCTCGAAATTGCGCGGATGCGCATGCGAATGACTGAGCTAGAGAGGGATCAAAATAATTTGAAAGTGGACATTGTCAAAAATGGTGGAGGGAGCAGATTCATTGACTCTATGTCGAAGAAGTTAAGCAAATTGAATCCCTTTCAACGTCGAGAGTCTAGGGATTTCAAGAACAGCGGCGAACTGGGTACCAATAGTAGCGGCACTCCTCTAACCCCCGACACCCGTTCCGCGAAACCTCGAAGACGTCGCCACTCCGTCTCGTAGTCCTTCATGGGCATCGTCTGAGACATGAAGGAAACTTGTAAAAATGATATGTTTTTTTTCAGGGAGACGCAAGTCATGTCGCTCCGCAGAACCCCAATCCACTGATACCGAAGCCCTTCTGAGAAACCCAACGTACGAGTTTAGGCTTTTCGGAGAAGAAGCGACCTCAACAGTTGGTACCGTTCATTTGCGACACCCCTTCAGCGCGCAATTGAAACATCTCTGTACTTTGCCTGCATTGGGCACATTTACTCATAAAATTGTACAATTGCCATAAGCTATCAACCATATCATTCTTGGGCACATCTTTCCTTCTCGGGCACAACGAAAGTATGTGGTGTTCAGAGGCATGCTATGTTAGCTTACGTCCTCCAGCTTATACCTCAGACAAGTGAGGCCCACCTCTTGCAGTGTCGATTCAGGCGTCCCGTAAAATGCCTCAGTGCTGCACAACGTTTCAGAAGCGAAGTGCTGAGGCGTCTCAAGCTTCGCCCAACTACTAAAATCCTTCCGCCACGATCTGACACCATATCGTTCACCTCCTGCTTCGAAATCAGGTTGTGCTCTTCCTACTAGATGCCACAGTTCTGGTGCAGAAGAATTGGTATTTTAGTGCCGATAGTGCTTACCTATTGTTGTTTTTCCTAGCTAATGGTTCCATATCCATTGGTTCTCTGCTACTCATGGTGCTTGCCCTTTTCTTCGAGAATGTTCTTGGATACTCCTATTGCCACGATAGCCACATACTACATTCAGTTGCATGATTGCGAAAAGTCTATTATCGTGAGCTCAACATAATTTCGTCCAACAAGCTGTTGCGGCAATTGCAATTTTTTCTTTTCTTTCTTTTTTTTTTTTGGATAAGAAAGTAGGGTTAGAGAGAAGATTTTACAAGTATTGAATTTTTGCAAAGGGGGTTTGTGATGACTTTGTAAAATCAAGCAGATTTAGAGTTAGGTTTTGAAGACTATCTTTTTGAGCAATAAATTGGAGTGTGTGCTCTGTGCAACATCAAAGTTTTGTGATAGATGCATTGATAGGATTTTGTAGATTTGTGCATATAATTGTATTTTGTGTGCATATAGTTTAAATTGAAGCTCAATTTGAAAGCTCAATTTGAAGATATCAATTTTTAAATAAGTCAAGTTACCAATAAATAACAATTTTGAGTATCAATATAGATATAAAAGATTGGCAAAGATTCACTACTTAAATTGAGCAACAATATTATAGAATAGTCACTAATGGAAAAATAAAGATCCTCACAAAATTTTAGAGCAAACTAATGGTAGGAGGTCTTACATTGAGGAGTACAACAAAAAAGTTGGAAGAGATTGTCCAACAATAAAGTAATTGTTTCTTTTGTAAAAAATCTTATGATGTCAAAAATAGAAATCATAAAATAATAAAAACTTAAATACATTCCTATGTCACTTAAAAAAGAATAGAATGTAATGTATTACCATATTTAAGAATTGAATATTATATCAAGTTTTCAATCTACCAATAAATTATAAATATGTATAAAATCAAATTCACATCTATAAAGATTTTAAGTAGCTTTTCTACAAGTTATTATCAAATCTATTTTTATTCACTTTCTATGTAATACTTCTTATCTAGATAATTATACATGTTTGTGAAAATATTTCTCCTTCTAGAGACAAGTTCTATGAAAATTAATAATTACATATTGAAGAAGTTCAAAATGTACTATATTTAATTTTTCACATATTCTATTTTTTTTCTTCTCTAAATGTAGTTATTAGGTTGTTTCAAACATTGATAGTGTCTCATACTAAGACTTAAAGACTATCTTGATATTTGATCATTGTTTAGGCCTTCATAACTTCTTTCAAATAAATCATTTGAAATATCATTAGGGATGGTTTTTACTTCCAATAACATCACCAAACATTGGAAATCTCTTTTAAGGTTGTGATATCAAACACATTATGTTTCACCAACTATTCAACAAAGAATATATTGTTCTTTAGAATCTTTATTTCTATCATATCATCTTAAAAGTTATAACAATTTCAATACATTGTCTAATAACTCAATAAATAATTGCTCTTAAGTTAAATATGATGGTTATAGATTATACATCTTTTTAGTGCTAAAAATATATAAAAACTACAAATAAAGATAGAAGATAGAATACAATCTTTACTAAGCTATGTTGTCGTGTAATAACATGGCCATTACATGAAAGAAGAGAAGAAATATTTTATTATAGAGGAGTTTAAATGAAAAAAGTTTACAAAATTATTTTAAAAATATAGATAATAGACAAAGAAGTAATAAAAATATATAAGTACTACTATTGTTTTTTTTAAAGAAGAGACTTATACTCACTTTATAGAGGCATAAATAAGCCAAATCAAAATAAATAAAATATATAATTAATACAAGCATCTTTGAGAAAGAATTAAAAAAAGGTTTTAGAAAAAAACTACTTTAAAATTTTAAGAATTGATATCCAAAGAGGATGAGTTGTGATCCAAGGTCAAAATCAAACCTTGAGGCACAAAACCGTGCACCTACAATGACTTCAAAGTTCTTTAGTCGATTGAAAAATATAGTTTGGAAGTAGACTTGTGAGAAGTTTTTTAAGAATTAATTTTATGTGATTTGAAGGTATATTAATGTATTGAAAGCTCTTCAAAGTAAAAGATGTATTGTATGGATTTGGATTTTCTGAAATAAAAAGAAGTCTACAAATTTAATGATTTTATAAGTGTTATAGTATATTTATGGATAAAAATTTATCAGTTAGTCGATGTACTTGTTGTAAAGGTGTATAAAAAATTCAATGTCAATTGAGCAGTTAGATTGAAGGTTATGAGAGTTTATATGGATTATAGTCTTGGATAATTAAACCTTTAGAGTTATTGAAGATTTTTGTGATCTTGCAACATCTGCAAGTTTAATTAAAGTAAAAATTAATAAAAATAAATAAATAAAGACTTAAACGCCTATAGACCAGCCAATTTTTGAAATAATTGAATTGTTCAAATAAGATAAATCTTTGTTGAAAGATCAACATTCAAGTTGAAAAAAGAAGGTGACCAAAATTTGAGAGGTTTTGAAAGCTTTTTTTTCAATTGGTGAATTTGATTCTTTTCAAATTTTTATGTGATTGTAAATTTTTTGTGGATTAAAGATATGAATGAAATTTTAGTCAAGATGAATGGTTCAATTAAAATTTATTGAAGTTTCAAAATAGCTATTTTAATTGATTAAGATTAGAATTCTTCAAAATCTTACTACAAATAGAATTCCTCTATTTAATATAATATTTCTTAACAATCTATGATATTAATAAATATTATCAAAAAAAAAAGATATTTTTTTATATGTGATAGATTTTTTACATGGTATAAAATATGTAATCTTAGTGAAAAAATCTACTATCACAAATATAAAATCATATGAGCTAAAGATTGTAAGATTTGTGATAAATCTATAGAAATATTTAGG